GGTGGCGGTTTCCTCCAAATGTGATGCTTGTAATATCGATCTCCCATGTCTGCGGAGGGGGTAAGAAGTGAGCGAAGCGAACCCAAAAATTAGACCGCAGTGTTTACACGCGTATCTTTCATCTATTTCAAGTATTTGGTGGTTACAAGCGGGTATAGATTTACTTTGTTTTTGAGATCCCGGTATGTGTACTTCCTTTAGATTCAGCAAGTGACAAAGCTCCGCATCAATCATCTTTTATTAATAGTTCATTTATTTAAGGTAAAAAAAAATAAACCCCAGTTATTCCGAGGAATAACCGAGGTTAAATTGATTTTTCAAATTTAATCGACTTTCAATTCAAATCCGCTAAATGCTTGCAACGCCGACTTACTCGAAATTAGTCCGTCGTTTCTAATTTTCAACATTGCCGCTGTCACTCTATACCCAATGCTGGCTCCACATGACAGTGAACCGTGGGTACTGTAGTATACGTCTTTTGCACAAATAAATGATTGCGCGTCGCATCTCTTATTGATAAATTTATCGATATTTGACGAGTCGATGGATCTTTTTTGGTGATCAAATAGATATGCATAGGGATATATTTTAACGTACATTTGGTTTTTAGCCGTATAAGGCGGTTTAACTACATATTCGATCTTGTTCAATTCATCGATATCGCGACTGGCTTTGTAGGCGTTTACGGTGTTAGACGGGAGACTAGACCCTTGAGACTTGATAAATTTATAAACGGCCAAATTTATGTGATCGAGTACGTTTGTCGTAGGTGATTGTATCTGGTAACAAATTTGACGGCCTTGGATGTTTTCGGGCGTTTTATCTCGAGTGCCATATTTGTAAAGTGGGTTTATTCCGTAACATGGTTCTATCGTCATAATCAACAGCCGTTTGTTTTGGCCGTTGTGATGGTAAAAAATGGGCAAAGTGCAGATCCCTTCTTTAACCACGGGTTTTAAAATGATTAATTTACTCAGGTCAAAGAGACCGTAAGTGACATTGGGGTCGCAGTTGTCGGCATTGAGATGCTCGTGGTCGTCTGAAACGATAAATACTTGAGTTGACATGGTTCTGATTTTTCCGGCTTTGACCAAAATTTTTATCATTTTTATTTGGGCGGGATTTCTACTTAATTAAATTTTCCACGTCAGCGTCGTATTCAATAATCCAATTTTGTATAAATCCGCGTTGAGTTTGGTCGAGTTTTGTTTTTTTTCGGGCAGTGGCTCGTTCTCTCGCACGTGCCTCAGCTTTTTATGCTCGCCGTCTACGAGCACCACGTGATCCATTCCTTCCAACTCGACACAATTTACGCAGCAGGTGCAGTACGTACAACCAAAACATTCGATACAATGGGCGTCCTCGCAACTGTCCAAGGCATTTGAATTTCGGCAGTCGTATGAATTAAAACAAGCCACGCAATTTATACATCTACCGCAATCGTCGCAGGTAGAGCAGTCCTTACATCTGACGCAATCGTTACATTGGTGACAATTGTGGCATTCTTTACAATCGGTGCATTTGCGTAAACTTTTGGAATTTAAACAACGAAAGCAATCGTACGAATCTATCAAGTTGATCGAATTTCTGGTATCTTTGCAAAAATAACAATTCACGTTTGTAGTTTTATCTACCATTTATTTTTATGTATTTTTATTATTGTTTATTTTTTTTTTGTTTTTTATAAGGGACCAGTGACGGGATTAAGTGTAAACTTTATTTTCCCGGTGTTGAGATTCATAGTGTCACTGGTCCTCATCCATCCCCTAAATCTCTCACGTGTTGGCTCCAAGCACCACATCCTGGGACCTCACCTCATCAGGCATGCTAAACCTGGTGAGGGGTGATTTTAACACTTCATCACCAGGGGAATGACCTCCATGATGCAGGTTACCGGCCTAGGTAGATGAAGTCCCTTAAGAACTCAAATGCTAGGTGTTCAAGACCAAGGCGAGCCACCTAGATGAAGGCAATCGGCTGTGATCTGGCATGAACAGGGATGAGCTCTACCATGTGACATTGCCCAAGACACGCTGTATGAGGATGACAACCACTACTCAATCCATACTGGCTCAGTCATCGTCCGGAACAAGGACTGCACTTTTCATTGCTGGCCATTAGGACAGAGATGAAAAGTATGCGACTGATGGACCAAAATCATTATGTGTTAGAAACAACATTACTATTGGCTCTGGGAATGTTACAGCAGTAGGAAAAGTTGAACTAACACACAAAATGAAGAGATACCCATGGAATATCCTTAGGCTCTGTGAGGTGTCTTGGAAAAACTTTGGAGAAATGTTTACCCCAGAGGGCCATAAACTCTACTTCAGTGGCAGTGGAAATAGACATGAGCATGGAGATCGCTTCCTCATTCACAAAGACACTGCAAATGCAATCATGGGATGCCATCCAATCTCCAGCCAGCTGGCTTATTATCATTCGTCTTTTAACATCATCTTCATCAAGCTTATGCTCCAACAACTAATTATGATGATGATGTTGTTGATGACTTCTATGAGCAACTCCAACTTAGACCTGAATTGAACTGATGCGATTGTGATGTCATCGGGTGACAAGTCATGTGTCATTAAAGGAGTACCCTTTATAGTGCTATATCTCATGAAGTAAATGTCCTATTGGGCTGAACTTTGGGGATAGGTAGAAAGGAAACAGTTTGAGATGGAAATGGATTTCATCTCATGGTGGTATCATTATATAAGTCATGTGACATATATCGAGATGACTTACTGGAATGTTTCCACTGCTTTATTTCCATTTTTGGCCATTATTTAACATTATTATTCAATGATTTTGTCAAAACCCTTTTTTTCAGCTCCATGGTTGTTCACAACCACGTCTTCTCTCATTTTTTTGGTGATCTCAAAGAGATATTAGAGCACGATAAACTCCACATACTGGCAATCATGTTTAGATACATTCAATTACAGGTTAGAGTGAGAACTGTGTTAAGTGGGGGAGAGTGGGTAAAATGGTACCTTTAACTTTGAAGCCAATGATATATAAGAATACACTATAGGCACTCAAAATGAAGCATATGAAACAACTTGATTTGTTGTATTGTGCTTTAGGTACCACAAATGTTCAAAAATCATTGTAACGGTAACAAATTTAGAGTGTTAAATCACTGTTTTTTGAGCCCCAAGTGTAGGGTAAAAGGACCCTTTTTGAGGAAAAAATGGCTCCATAGTGCCCTATATAATTGTATGTACAGTGGAACACTGCTATAACGAACACATAGGGGTCCACACTAAATATTCGGAACAGCGGTCATTCGGTATAGCGAAATTTACAGCTGAACGTTTCGTTGCCATGTTGAATAGCACCCTCTTTTGTCTAACTGGAATGCCCCCTCTTGTGATACTATGGTTCTCTGTTTTTTGTGATGTTTTCCTGTTGCATTCACGTTTGAGGTTTCTAGAAATGCATCTGTTAATAATTTTTTTTTTTTATTAAATCTCAAGTTACAAAATTGATATTTAGTTTATCCTAAAAGTCGTGAAGCTACCGCTCAGGATCGATCTCTGATACATGCTGTGGCAAATGTCGGTTAATTTGCAATTACATAATGTTTGGTAGGTTTTGTGCACAAAATATTGGGAGCCAAGGACGCTGTTCGGTTTAGCCGAATGGCTGGTATAGCGGTGTTCCACTGTACTTTATTGAAAGTAGGCTGTAACAGTGATGACTTAGCATACTACAGTGTATGTAAAGTTCAAGCTAACTCATATTGCATTACATTATTTTCATGTGATATTTGCAAAGACACCATATCATACCAGTCATCCTAAGATGACAACTGTCTGAAACTGAAAGATGTTACTGAAGCTCTCAAAGAGGCCAGACTCATGAATGTTGGCACTGACATTATCTACCCATATAAATATCACTGTAATGTCAATGCTAGATGGCATTGTGTTCCGTTTATCCCACTCTCCCCAAAGCCATTCAAATCCAACATCAGTGTGCCTTATGGAGTCAGACTCAACCCCATTTTTTTCCTCTGTACCCTGGAAAAGTACTTAGACAACGTGACCCAGGAACACTCAAGACACCCTTTAACTTTTAAGAAACACAGTGGCGTAACAAGGGTACATTTTGCAGTAGGCATTTGAGAGGCCCCCATTTGTGGAGGGGGGCACGCAGTGGGTTTGGTCAAAGTTGAAACAAAAATACCCAAATGGACTACCGGTATCACCAGAATTTTTCCTTCTCTAATTTCTGACTGGGGGAGGGAATGGGAGGAGGGCACACGGGGGGCACAGGCCTGGGAGGGGGACATTACCACGTATCCCCCTTTACCATTGAGGGGGCATGAGGAAATCTCAAGTACTCCTGACAGATTCTCCATTATATGGCGCAACCACATGCCATACATTGAGACAAAAATGTTCATTACATACATGCATGTCAGTGATAGTCCACATATCAGATTACTGGTATTTATTTAGGAGTGATGTACATGTACATGAACACTTACAAAAATGTTTATTTTTATACACTGACATAACTATAACAATGGCTTAAAGCAATAATGTTTTCATAGATTAATTTTCAAGATTTTGTTACTTAGTCACATTGTTTGTTTATTCGCTGAAAAATGTAATCTGAATCAACATTTCTTTAGTTCATGAAGCATTTCTCAATGTTTGTGCAACTGTTTCATCTCACCATGTACTGTAAAGTAAAAAAAACCAACTAGAGTTAAGAAAGTTGAGATAACCGTTGCACCGTTTGATATATCTTTTTTTAATACAAGAGATTTCTGATACAAGATAACAGTGGAAATGCACTTTTAACAAGTACCGGTATTAAAACTGAAATCTGTGCTGTAAATAGTGTTCATCTTCTTGCCAAATAACAAAGAATGTTTATGGTTTTTGATGTGCTTAATATCAGTTTTTATATTTCTGCTCAAATGAGTTTATTTTTAGTGGCTTGCAATCAGTTTATAATTTCATTGTTTTGCCCTTATATAGATCAGATAACAGTCCAACTAACTGGCTGGTTGCTGGATATGAAGGAGGAAATCCCAAATCACAGATAGTGGTTGTTAAGTCAGGAAATGATGGTCTTGCTGGAATGAAAGAGCTGTTAGAGGATAATTCAGTGTTTTATGGATTATTGCGGGTTAGCAATGAAATAGATGACATCTCTACCATCAAGTTTGTATACATAACTTGGTAAGTGAGAGTTTCTGTTTCCATGAAGTATTTTTCAGTCCATGTCCCTTGGTGAAAAGCTGAGGGAAAATAGAATGCTCTTTGGATTACTGCGGGAGGCTTTCTTCACCATGTGAAGCAGTGAGTATCTGTATGTACTATTGCTTGGCTGAATGGCATGTGGGGTACCTGGTATGATGTGCTTTGTCACCGACGTGCACGTGAAAACACTTTTGGTCCCCCAATTAACTGATATCCCCTAATGGCTTCTTTAGCTGGGCCCGATGTGTATTGCATAAGCCTGACTAATTTCAAGTCACTGTTTTCACATACCTGATCAACATGAACTTGAAACGCTCTAAGGAAATGATGATAATGCAAAGGATTCCTATCAAACACTTGTAACTCGACCTTTGGTAAATTGAGCAAGCCAAGAAACTGTTCTCGAGAAAGATCACAGTATTAGTACGTCTCATGTGAACCAGAATCTTTCTGATCTAAAATGTTAGGATACATGACTAATCACCCCATATTACATTTGGAAATTGAGCCTTTGCTTCTGTGGCTGCTTTGAAGCCGGTAGTTCACTGGCTATTTTGCAGCAAATTATTCAAATAGGGCCATTTTTTCAGAATGGGATCCAATTCCTTCAGAAGTGGAGATAATATCTGTATTTTGAAACCTGCTTTCCCTTCACCAATTCTATTTCTTTTAAATATTAGCCTAATCGTGGAACCTATTTCCTGCACTCGTTAAATTTTAATAATTATTGTCAGTTTAGTTAAAGAAATATTTCTTTTATAAAATACAAGCAAATAAATGGGGCATAGCCCGTCCTTATTATTCGAAATGATGTATATTTTCTCTTGGGGGGGGTTATCAAGCTATTCTTTCTGAGTATCCTTATGTACTCAATTCTGTTTGACAGATAAGGCTCTGCTTTTCGAAACGAAAGATTGCCGAAACCAAATGGAATGATTGCCAGAAATCTTTCCTATAAGTATAATTGTAGGGCACAAAATTAAATGACAAGAGTGCATCGTCAGATTAAACGGGATCAACCCAGTTTTTCCCAGTCGCTTCGTTCTCCCAAATTTTTTGCATGTACGGTTTGGATAGGACTGAAGAACAAAAGATTGGGGAACATTACGTACCCTCTAAACCATGATGAAACTATCTATATACATGTAAGCCTTATGGAATGCGATGACGTCCACACTTTCTGCACACTTTTTGGAGTTAGTCATGTTTGAAAAAGACCCAGGCCTTGAACCATTTGAACCTGGTGCCACTTGTTTTAACGAATGCAGCGGCTAAAACCAATGTGTATTTTAAACTGCGGCCATTAGCAAAAATCTGTGACATTATACTCACCGTTAATCTTATACAATTATCCTCCAGCACCTACTTCCCCAAAGGCATGCAAGGCCAGTGTAGCAGCTGGTCTGTCAATCCCTATATATGCATCAATAACACCCAATTCAATGTTCTTTCCAAATAAAGAATATATACATGTTCAAGAGTCTGTCCGTTTTGTATTTATGCCGATTAACTACAAACTGTTGGACCAGGCTGTTCGTCCCTTACTAATGAGCAGCCTGGCCCAGGAAGCTAGCAGGGTGGACTTTGAGTCGTCTTAGACTCCAAGATGGCTGACTGGAGTGATGGTGGGATCTCCAAATTTTGGGGAGGAGAGAAATTTACAATAAGTTTCAAAGTCTTAGACTTTCCGCAAGCATATGAAAACATATTGGATGTGATTTAGTTTTGCAATTTTTTAAAAAGAATTATAACGAGCCCCGAAGAGATTCCAAGCATTTCATGCATTAACTTTCATTTGGTTTTAATTATGTCACCGTGAATATTTTATACAAATTATGACATCTCGATATAATTATGCATTATAATGGACGTGGGTTTTAATTGGACAAAACAATCTCACACACTGGAATTTCTGAAACTTGGCAGGTAGGTCTGATACTGTTGTTGTAGCAGATTATGGATGACCATTCAGCAGTGTTGTGTGAACAACAGTCGACTGTCGGTAATACGATCTCGGGTAAGACGAGACTCCGGTTTAGACGAGCATATTTGCCAATCCTGACTGAATTGTGCACATTCCTATGAGGGAAAATATGTGTAATACGAGCTTGGATGTTATGAGATTTCGGTTAAGACAAGCATTTTTTTAGGCGCTGGCTGAGTGCAAATCTTTTGTTATCTGTCTATTTAGCACAAGTGTTGTTGAAGGCAACTTGTCAATTAGCCAGTCCATTCAATTTTGAAAGGCGCTTGCATAATTTATGCGTGTACTGTGGAACAGCGCTGTGGTTTTCCCTCAACAAATCGAGCTGTTTGTGTCTGGTGCTGCAAGAGAGACAAACAATCGGCATTTTGCATTTGCAGTTCCCTTATGCGTGCCCAACGTAGAAATTCTGTGTGGCTGCTCTCATATCGCCTGAACACAAGCAAGTGCCGCCAAAAGTGCTACAGTATTTAGGACAGTGGTTAACAAAAGAAATCTTGTGTTTGATTCCCCCATCCCCCAAAAATTCCCAAGACCAATGTCCCCCAGGAAACTACATGTAATAACAATTGTGTTCCGTAACCAAACACCTGGCCCCAAAGCTGCCCACTCTCCGTCTAAAAATTGTTACCCGCTCCCCACCGTAACATGAAAGTATCACCCCTTCCGATTTTGACATTTCTATAAGTTCTCAATTTAAGAAAATCATGACTATACCGTGGTTTTCAGTCCAAAAATGTTAAAGAAAATAATAACCACATGTGTTTGGGGAAAAAGTGTATCCCCTGCTGATAATTTTTTCACCACACCCACACGCCTTTCCAAAGTAAAATCAGACATTCACCCTCTGCTGTCAACATCACCAGTAACTGGTTTCCTCACACTTTTATGTGCAACGATCACTGCTCTGGTGTTGGTTACCAACTAAAATGTTAATGTACTTACGTTTACGTGCACGCATGTGGAGCTCATCACGGCGTGCGGGGCCGGGGACTTGTCGCTCCAATTTCCAAATCGACATGACTGGTGGAAATTCTGCTTCCTCCGTTCTTACATTTTGTAATTTTTATTAAAAGTCTTTATTCACTAAACTATATCTGTAGAATATAGATAGTTAAGTTCTTAGAGGGCGCTATTTCAACTCAATGGTGCTGAGCCCATTTCCTTAAAAAATTGGTGGCGCTCTTCAAAACCATGACGTTACTTGAAGTCTCCATTTTGATGCAAGAATGTTGGTGTATTTTTCACCTTTTTAGTCTGGCATGTTACCCAATCTGGGTGAGTAAACCCTTGTTAATTGTTCATTATTACTTCTGTGTTAAAACTTTGAGGGATAAGTGGTTATTCTTACTATATTTGTCATCCAAAGTTTCATGTGTATTTTTCGATTATTGTCGCATGGTTGGGACTGTTTGTTAATGTTTTTTACTGATTACTGTTGTGATCCTTTATTGTATTTCATCATAAAGCAAAGCCAAGCCAAGTCAAAGCCAAAACCTAAAGCCTTAAGACAAAAAAAGGCAGAGAGAAATAGACAGAAAAAAATGGAAAGAAAGAAATAAATCACGGCTTTATCGGCCAAGAGTAACACAGGAAATCAGTTTTCACTTGTGAGATTAAAACCCAACCAGCTACCCCCCGTTCTACACAGTACCTCTCTTTCATAAACAAACTTTTAAAATTCAAATTCATAAATAAAACAATACTATGTGCCTTGTAACAAAAAAGTTATGCTCACATGTAGTTGTACACATTTACGCTTTACGTACGGTCGATCGGTGATACACACGTTCAGCAACAAGACCGCAACTTTCGCGTAAGACGAGAAGTCTGGATTATACACCCTTAAGTTGCACCACCAACTAGACTTGCCTTTGTCATGATCTCAACCGGAATGGAGGCCCTGCTAGGCTTTCAGAAATCATCCTCCCTCCCAAATGTGATAAGAAATCTTTGCCTATAGCTCAGACATACTGATCAAACTTCTTTGGTAACAATGGATGCTTAAGCTGGCAAGGAATCAAACTGTAAATTCATTTTGTCACGCTGTCTTCTTTTTATTTGTTCTTATTTGGGGTCGACTGATATTGATGACTGGTGTCTGGCTTGACAGGCCCACAACCGGTACAGTTTAACACAAATTTCAACAAAATCGAAAGAGGGTGCTTTTCCTGTAGCTACTATTTTAATTTGCAGAGTAACAGTTGTTATTCGGAATGAAATCTTTTTCATTTACCATCATATGTTTGTTTGATGTGTGCTGTTGTGATAACTTCTTTTCAGCTGTTTTGATATTGTTTGGTACTGTCGCTGAGACTGGGGGAACTTTGACGTGGACAACTCTCACTGTGTTGTCTTATGAGAGTGCAGCCAGCAACATACCGGCATGATCATGGCTTCAGTGACTGTATTCTATATATATTTTGTACCTGATCAAGTCATTGTTACTTCATGCCCAGACTATGCCAGTTACTTCAAGGCTAGTTGATTCTGTCTCAATAAAGACTTGTCTGACATACACGGTGTTGCCAGCTAGAACTGCCAAAGGAATATTCACCTCAAATTCCACTGGTAAAATGGACTAAACATGGAATAACCTGTATGTTTGTGCCAGGTGGCGACCCTACATGGATATAACCAGGTCTCCTGCGTTTGCATACCCCTGCCTAGCCTACATATGCAAATTTCCCATGTGGCTATTACAATTCGCTGAAAGGACTTGATTATGCATTCTGCCCCTTGACCCTCCACAATGCACTGTGGTCCCACCGCCATGTTCGTCCTTCTTTTCTCAGCGCCTATCATTTACGGATGTGTCTTCATGGCATTTTCAGAGTTTTGGTTCTGTTACCTCTCAGGTTTATGAATTGACTTGATTCCTGATTACAAATAAAGAGTGGTTTCTTATCTGTTGGTAAGAGGGCTTATTTTTGTATTTTTGTTGTTCTTTTCTACCCCTTTTCCTGTACATTATCTGCTTGTTTGGATGTGACCT